AAAAAGGAGAAAAAAAATCCCCCACAAAATTAAAAACTGATGGGGCTGCTATGTAATTAACTGGCAATTTCTCAGTTGCAAACCCCTGATTTGTAACCATGGCAGGTACAGAAACTACCAGCTGCATTGTACTTCCACTGTCTCCACCTGCCCCCATTTTTTCTGACAACACAGCACAGAAAACTATCTGAGCTGAAATCCCACTCTTATCAGCTTTCTTCTCCTTGGAGATTTCATAGCCCACCCCCCCTTGCCTCTTCGATCACAACTTAAGTCTCTTCATCGTTCTTGTTCTTCTGCCTTTTTCCCCAGGTACATCACAAAAATGTCATTCCCACCAGCACAAAAATACAATTTATGGACAACAAAATTAGTATCAACAAATCTCACCCTATAATGTGGGCTTTGATGAAGGAATAGATGAAGGCCCTAATAGGTTCTGAAATGGCTTTAGAACAGATACACTGGAAATCAGTGTCATCTCTTCTCATATTTTCTTGAGGAAAGAGTGACATTTTGATGTGTGTGGTGGGGGAGGTACAATTTGGAAATGGTTATCCAAATTTAAAATAAATATAACTTTTATTTTAAGTTCAGGGGGACCTAAATTTGATGTAGCAAGTTACCATTTAGGAATTTCTCCTATGGATTTACCCTATGGATTCAATTAATCATGGCATTGTTTGACATGGTACACATAAATGGAAACAAGAGAGACTGATCTAAACATTATGGTATATCCATGAGATGAAATACTATGTATCTGTTAAAAAGAATAAGGTGGAGCTGATCTAGGGAGGAGAGAAGCAGAGAAGAAAACATTTATTCATTTATCGGGTGAAACAATTCTATAAATCTCATCAGAGACAATAAATGGCAAACAACATATGTGGAAAGAGTGTTGGATGAAGTTCAGATACTTATTTCTGGAGCTGATCTAGAGCTGATCTAGACAGATGTCTACACTCTCTTGTAAAGTGAAAAAAGTGACAGAACATGGGCTAGGGAGTTATCCTTTTTTTTTTCTTCCTTCGTTTTCCCCCCACACTAAGGAGGACCTTTGGCTTGGCTTCCCTTCCCTTTTCTCTTTCTAATCTGCACTCCTCCATATGCCACCTTAACAGGCATATTTCAAAAACCTATTGCAAATGAGTCTTTCCCCAAGCAAGACAAGCAAGAAAAAGGCAGAAGTGCAGGAGAAAGGGGAAGAGCCCACGTGAACAGTTCTGAAGGGAAGAGAGTCAAGAATAAGTTGGAAAGCAGAAGAAAAGGAATGGGGTGGGGGGAGCGGGAGCTTTAAGAAAACATTCTGTGTATTATGATGGAGCCACTGTTCATGTTTTCTGAGAGACCCTGGCGAAGGTTAGGATTACTGTTGATTTTCAATCCTCTGACACCACGCTAAGACTGAGGTCTATGTGGCTCTGGAATATATTCACACTGGCCACTCTCACACAGAACATTTCCAGAAAGAAACTTTTAGCCATGCCTGTCTTTAAGGAGTGGGCCAACAGTTTGAAGATGAGGCTGATTTTTACCTTTCTGTCCTCTTAAATGGTCCTTCCCTACAGGCATATGCTAATCTCGCAAAAGAAATGAACACAACATGTGTGAACATCCTGAGAGTCCTCTTCAAAACCGGAAAAACCCTCTGTATCTCCTTATCACTCTCCAGTTCCCAAAGAAAAGTCAAATTGAATTCGTATTTGATAACATTTTAAAACAATGCGTTCAATTTTGTATTTTTCTCTCCTTTTTTGGGGGCTGGGCGGGGGCGGATTTATGGCCCATACACTGGTGCTACCAAAGGCCGAGTAGACTTTCCTGGCTTAGTCTGGGGAACTCACCATAATCTGTCACCATCTTTAACAGGAAAATGCATACCAAGTTCTGAACTGGCTAATTAACATTAGACTAAGTTAAACTTTTCAATAAAATTTATCAAGTATTTTAAAATTATTTTCATTCTACTTAATGTTTGCAATGCTAAGGGACAGACGAGTTTGCATATACAGTCACATATATATGCCGATACTATCAGAAGACATGCTATGGGCTAATACTAAATATTATACATTTTGTTGTATGTGATTTCTATCTTGTTTTATGAAACATGAAGGACCTAATGTTGAGCCGCATCATAAAAACTGAGTAAAATCTATTGAGTAAAAATAAATGACAGAGTAGCAAGAAGGGGGCTGAAGGCCATAATTTGGATAAAAATGGAATAGCAGCACTTTCTCCTCTAAGGTCAGCAATTAAAATTCAGCGAAGGTCAGGAGTGACAAAATCATCAAGAAAGACTTGACCTCCATCTAGTTGTTGCAAACAATATATTAACATTGTAAAACTGTTACAGCAGATGGCAATGCAATCATCCCTTGGTAACTCATGCCTCGCTAACCGTCTGTGACCTTGGCTAAAGGTCAGCAAAAGGCCCACCTCCAGCATCTGCAGGGAGCGGATGCATGCGGAGGCCGAGAGCACCCAGTGTGAATTCCCTCGTGCACATGTGAGAGGTGAAAACCACAGCCAACTTCTCCATTCCTGCCTTTGTTCTAAAATTGCTAACGGCGGCGTTGCAGGGTACCTGACCTATTTGCATACATTCCTTATTTTTACCTCTGCCTGAGCTAAAGGGGAAAAAGGCAAAGTATGACAACATCTACCCTGCCCATTTCTCTTAACTTTGTTGGTTCGGGTTTATTTATAGCCTTTTCCTCAACTACAGCTTTAAAAGCAAATGATTCGTACCTCACTCATGTGAAGTGGATCAATGCAGATTGGATTTCTTGAAATACCACCAAAAAGCAGCTCCTCAACACCCTCCAGGGAAGAAAAGCCAAGGGAGGCGTGGAAATTTGTCACCCAGTGTAAGAACAGAGCACACATTGACAGAGAGACTGTGACCTGCCAAACACCACGTAAATATAACCAAACGTTTTCCAAACATAACGGACTGTATTCTGGTGGCGAAGCCTTGGCCTCGCTTACAAGAAAGGCCTCTTTGTTTAACTTTAAAGTCAGTCAAACTGCCAGTTACTTAAGGGGTAAGTTAGTGCCTCAAAGAGGCCCTGGTAGATGGGGGAAGAAAAGGTTGCAAAATACATGCAGAACAGACACCTTGTAGGTGTGTGGTCTTCTTTATGGATGTGGTGGACCCATTTAAAGTTTCTGTGCTTCAGAGTGGCCTGGGCAGGGCAGTCTGGGTGTCAAAAGGAAAGCGAAGATAAGGCAGAGGACTCAGTGCAGCGCTAGCAGAGAGCCAGCGGCTGCTGATGGGGCCTGGAGAAGAAAGGGTGTTTTTCAGTCTGCGTCTTTTGGATGGAGTCGATCCGCTCACCCAGAGGCTGTGGTTTGGCTTTCTCATAGCAAGCTGTGGAGTTCAGAGAGGTAACGCCAACCATCTGACCTGCCTCTTTTTGCAACACTAAGGCTCAGAGATGAAGCCTTATCTCTTTGAATGCAATCCGTATTTTCTGAGAACCCACAAGATTGATCACACTCAGCAGGCATTTCACTGCTCATGGGAAAGTCTACAGTCTCAGCCCTCAAGCCAATTCCTTATACGTTTGATTAAAGCTGACTCACAGTCTGGATTCCAGAGCCCTTCACCCACAGGCAGTGGAGGAAACCACCTACAGAAGTCCAGGAAACATGCTCAGGGTCAGGCTGGTGCCACTGGCTGGCCAGGGACCTCTGCCATCCACCTGGCTGGTGGAGCCTCTGCCGTCTTTGGGCTCTGCACCAAGCTCCTGGCTCATGCCTGGCTTCCTGACCAAGCACCTCATTTCTGGTTTCCTACCATGAGCCCGAACAAATATCCTAGACCTGGACTCACTTCCGTTCTTATGCTGACTCTGGGAACTTCCTCTCCCAGATGTCTCCTGAGAGTCTACCTCTAGCAGGAACAGGAAGTACCCCGGGCTCTGACTTTCCCACCTGCCCCTCTTCACTTACAGCCTCTCCCTGCCCGTTGTCCTACGTTGCATAGGTCTGGTCCTGGATTCTCCCTCTGCTTCACCCCTTTGGACTGACACAGTATTTGCACAGTCTGCAAAGCTGGGAAATTAAAGATTTGCCCAGGATGGACCCCCTGTTCTCCAGGGACCGTCTCCCTCTGCCATTGCTCCCGGTCACAGGTGCTTTCAAGGTACCTTCCCATCAGCAACCTTGCTCTGTGCTAGAGACTGAGCCATTCCAACCTCAGATTATGGTCCGCTGTCTCTGTGCCCTTCCCCTTGGGCTGCTCTCAGTCTCGCCTTCTAGAATTATGTTCTCAGCCCACTGCAAATCAGGGTGCAACATCCACCAGCACCTAACTCTCAGCAGTTCAACACTACCCTCCTCAAAGCTTCTCTGAGATAAAAACACCTCAGGGCAAAACGCCTTCTGGTCTCAAGGAGCTGAGATCAGTCAAGAAGCAAAATCACCAATCGCTCCTTCACCTGACTCAAGGATAAGCTGGGGCAGGGCCATCTCCCTGCTGTCCTCCCTGGCTCACAAGGTAATTATGAAGACAAATGATTCAACTGAAAGCATAAATCCTGAGAAAGAGAAGGGACCAGGATTTACTGCCAGCCAGACCAAGGGCCCCGTATGGCCATCCTCACCTGGACCAGCAGAGGCCAATGACACAGCCTCTCAAGCTAGGTCTGAGCCCGCGTTCCTCTCCAGCTCCCCCAGCACCCTGAGCCTGCCTTTGTCATGGCAAGCGCCACATCGTATTGTAATCATCTGCTCCAGATCGAGACAGCATCTAATTAGTTTCTGTACACCCACGGTGCCTGACAGGCAGAAGGAACTTTACAAGTGATGAATGAATGCATAAGTGAATGAACAAGGGGGAATGAATAAAATAAGACTTGGTTTTACGCAGTGGTTGAGAAGCAGCTGGAAATCCTCCATGCAAAGCAGTAATCGGAATGACTTCACAACATCGATCTTTGCCCAACGTGAAGACATCCCAGCCCTTGTGTTACCCTCTCCCTGGGACTCGCCTGTATGGCTCCATGGTCCGAGTACCATAGAACAAGGCTTCCTCCAACAGGCCGAGGTTGATGCAGGCATCCATGGCGCAGTCGAGCACCTTCAGCTGGTAGATGTTGATATCGGGAAGCCGCTCAGAATTGCTGCTGATGATCGCCTGGCACATGGCCAGAACCTGCTCCCACTCTGTTATTAACCTTAGTTAAGGATTCATTGTCTTCATCGAGAAAAAAACCAAAGTGAAATTAGATTCTCTAAAAGGCTGAAGAGCTCCCAAGCGCAGGAGGGAGGGAAGCACCCGTTACTTTTCACAGAGGAGCCGCCTGAAAACACACTTGAGAAACAAAAACACACAAGTGGCATCTCAGTGAAGTAAATTCTGTTTACATCAACAGACTAGCGTGTAACCAGGCCTGCGCTTTGGAGTTTTAAAACTTTCAGGCCTGGCGCGGTGGCTCACGCCTGCAATCCCAGCATTTTGGGAGGTTGAGGCAGGAGGATCACGGGGTCAGGAGATCGAGACCATCCTGGCTAACACGGTGAAACCCTGTCTGTACTAAAAATACAAAAAATTAGCCGGGCGTGGTGGTGGCGCCTGTAGTCCCAGCTACTCCAGAGGCTGAGGCAGGAGAATGGCGTGAACCCGGGAGGCGGAGCTTGCAGTGAGCCGAGATCACGCCACTGCACTCCAGCCTGGGCGACAGAGCAAGACTCTGTCTCAAAAACAAACAAACAAAAAAACGCGAAAACAAACAAAAACTTCTAAAGACCTGTTCTTTCTTCACACTCCTAGATGTGTTCTCTTTAAATCTAGTCATAAATAAATGCAGTCCTTTATTAAATTGGACTAAAGATTAAGTTAATTCGGTTTTAAATTATTTACTGTTAGCTTCTGTTTAAAAACTGATTTGAAATTAAAGATGCTTTAGAGAGATTCCTTTTTCAAAAGGAAGAGCTCATGTTTGCTTCTGTGTTATCTGAGTTCTGGGCATACATGAACCCAAATACACACACAACCCACAGGCACACACGAGGTGGAGCAATGTGAAGAAATAGATTTCCACGGGATCTCATCTTTTTCGATTATAAAGCAAAAGTGACCCAAGCCTATACTTAACCAAATAATTAAAATCTGTGCTATTTTAAACCCCCAAAATAAGAGACAATATTAGGAACGTGGCTTATCACATAAATTGCTGGCAAGGGAAACGATGCTTTAAAAAGGATGGGGAGAAGACTCAATATCCGCTTCTCAGTAACACTGACTTTCTGATTAACTATGAGTCAATAACAATCTCATGTAGCCTTGGAGTGACTTCACTTTTTAGAACTGATATTCCCTGTCTTAGAGGGGCAGTCAGAGGACTGAGGACATGGTTTATGGAGCATGCTTTGAATCCCTCCCCGGTGAATTCTCTGGGAAACAGAGCGAAGGCGAGAGTGCAGGACCCTGGGACCTCATAGTTTCTTCACTGTGCACTGTTAGGCGAGTCGGAGACCAAGGAGGGTCCTGAGCTGGGACTTGCCCTTCTCTCACTCCTGTCCCACCTTCACCCAGTGGAGCTCCAGATTCATCTGCTTCGTATGTTGTCATTCCAGTGGGAGAAAAGGTTTTGAAGATCGGAAATGGCAGCCTAGCCTTCGACTGTAGTAAAGCTAGATTCAGATCTAATCTAGTCCCGTCATTTATCAGACTTGAGGTTCTGAGGAAGTCAAAGTGCTTAATGATACACCAGAAATAAAAATGACTAATGTCAATGTAAGAATGAGTAATATACTGTATGTAAAATGACACAATTTGTCATGTGTCCTCTCATGAGCCAGGTGAAGTTCTGGGTGTCAGAGACACAGTGGGGAACATTTCATGGCATGCACAAGGCACACACGACATAAGCATTAGTGCCTTCCACCTTCCCTCTGTGACGTGACCTCTGAGCCTGACTGGGCTTAAAGAAAGTGGTTCAGTGGACTGACTTTGACTGAACTTCCCTTCATGCCCCCACACCCCTCCCACTCCCACATGACCTGGTCTCTTTACAATCCATGCTTTCTGTGCCATCCCCGGCCCCTAATTCAAAACCCTCTTCATGGAGGTCCTAACAGAGCATGCCCAGCCCTGAACAGCCAACCCACTGTGTATGCTCCCCTCTCTGTCCAGCAAAACCTTCCTCTTTGAGTGTCCATGCCCTTCTCAGAACACGGTTTTCCAAAACATTAGCAAATACTTCTAATAAAGCAATCAAGCCATTCCTGAGAGCAGGGACGAATACCTTTATGAACTTTCAAAGGAAATATGTTTTCTTTCCAGCAAAGGCTTCCCAGAGGCCCAATATCTTACTCCAAAAGATGAGTTCCTTGACGAGAATTTAAAGCACCACAATGCACAGCTGAGAGCCTTTTCTGTCACACCCACGCAAAAACATGAGTCCTGTCTTGGAGGAATTGACCCTGATCCTAAAAAAGTTTCACTTCCTGAAGAAAAGTGAGTCCATGATTTGCTCTGGCATTCATCTGACATGTATGTTCAAAGTTTGCTGAATGTATCCCCTAGAGGTTGGGGGAAGCAGTATCTTAGGCAATGCACTGATTTTGTAACAGATTGCTGGGCTAACCTCTGTGGCTTTTCATTCCAGGATTAGAGATTTGACGAACTGTCAGGAGGAATGACTGTCTCTCACACAATGCTAGACATTTCTGTGGCAAGACTTGTACCTTATTTTAACATTGTGCTGTTTGACCTCCACGATTATTTGCCCGTTCATTTATGTATGTTCCCACTTATTCTAAAGAGGTTTGAGGTGACAGGCCTTAGAAGTAAAAGCCAGATGTGATGTACTGCACTCACTCATAGGAATGCATCTACTTTATCCCCCAGCAAGCCGGAAGGGACTACGTGCCAATTTTCCTTCGCAACACTGGCAACTGTCTCTTGGCAAACAAGGCAAAACCTTTCCTGCAAAGCACCCCAGTGAGCAAAAAAATGGAATAATTTTAACTAAGAGGCTTTTCCCCCAAGTTACTACTGACATGTATTTGCTCAAAGATTTAGTCCCTGGCATCTGTGTGGTGTTTATTACAAGTGACTCTGTTCCAGTAAGGAGCTGAGCTCTAGACCTAGCAGGAGCTGGATAGCCTACCCAAAGAGAATAGATTCTTAATGGACAGAACAGATACCCTTTTTTCCTGAATACTTTTAAATGACCATAAGAGGATCAGGGGAAAACAGAAAGAGCAGCACAGTAAATTCACTTGGGAATTACTCAACTCATTGAGACTCAGACTGTCAGTCCACAGAGTCTGTATCCACTTGATCATATTACTCTACTGCTTAAAAAATCATCGCACGGCCCCCTCTCACCTATGAAGTCTAATCTGTGCATGGCAGTTAAGGCCGTGCCACCTTCCCCTCCTCTCATACTGCACACTCGGCAGCTTCTCGGCAGCAGTGCATGTTTTGTGCATCTGAACACGTCATCCCTTGTGTTGGACGCCTCTTCTCTTGGTTGGCCTGGTGAACTCCCACTAATCCTCCCAGACGCAGCTCACTGGTCACCTCCTCTGTGAAATCTTTTAACTTCCCAGAGTTGACTATTGTGTCTTTGACGCCGCTGTAAGTCTAGATCTTTACCAAAATATGTATTAATGGACATTTTACTACCCCGCTATGCAGGAGAGTAGTGAATGCAGGGCTGTGTTTTCTAACTTCTGTCTGAACCATCAGGTGAATGATGACCGGCAAGGTACTCAGCATACAGTCCGTTTTCAGTAAAACCTTGTACGGTTGAAACTGAACTCTGGCTGGGTTATCCGTGGGCCCCAATACCATGGCCAGGGCCCAAACAGAACGAGTCTACTCCTCTGCACATAAAAAGCTCTTTGAGCCCATGAACAGGGGCCTCCTGTTCCAGAGTGGACTGTCTTCCCAGTATCTTCTATCTCATCATAGACAGGGCTTCAAATCCCTCCTTAATTTCAGTTCCACCCCTCAAAACCAGTTGTTTTAATACTTCCTACCTCAAACTGAATAGAAAATTCTAGAAATAATCGGACCAATACTATCATCTTCTAATCAATATTAATGCAGCCCAAGATCACAGTAGTAAGATGATATTATACTCTTAAATGTTGTTAAATTTTGCTGTTTACTAAAGCCCAAATTTATTTTCACATGTTCTTATGCGTATTTCATATTTGAACTTTTTGATCCAAATAGAAATGTATATATGTTCTTGTTATATTTCATCTCTTTAAAACTTGGACACCATTTAAACATTTAGGGATCTTTTGAAGTCTTTTTTTCTTTTGAGATACAGATTCTATCATCCTCCCTCTGTTATCCTCCCCATCTACGACACTTTGGAGATTTCATAAACCTGTCCTCAGTATCCTTGTTCGAGGTATGGAATTATGAATTAAAGAGGACCGAGATGGAACAACGCTCCAGAATGACATTGAATCATTCAACATCATTTTTTCAGTGTAGCTATTCAGTCAGTTTTGCTAACATCTAACGTAAGTTTCTTGACTACTTTTCGCCAAATCCCTTTCTGAAGTCTTGATACAAACGTTACCAAAGAAAGCCACGTCTCTGGATTCACTCGCTCTTGGAGAAACCCTGTAGCATCATGATGATCACTGCTTCCTTTTCCATTCCTTAGTAACCAGTCCAAGATTCTTTGCCAAGACTGCTAATCAGCTCAGAGGGCTATCAACTCAAAATTATGTCCTTCACCTTTAAAACTGGAGACCTCCCTCTACCTCCCTCTCTAGCTCTTTACAACTCTTTTAATAGCATCATCAGCAAATTGGAAACGTTCTTAGTGCCTGGAATATAATTTACCCCCAAGTCTCTGAATGACCTTTTGCAGTCTTTTCATCCACCTTGATCTCTTCCTTCGTGCCTGCTGTCTCCCTTCATCGCAGCTTTGCTCCAGTGAACTCCTCTACCAGGAGCGGCCTCCCTCTCAGCCTCGGCCTATCCAAATCCTGCCCCTGACTCAGGCTATCTTTTGCACCGTAAAACATCCGTGGAGCCTTCCCCATTGACCTTCATCCTACGTGATCTCTCCTTACTCTGAACTTTGGCCCACCTGTGGTCATTACTATTCACGCCGAGAAAATGTGTCGTGCAGCAAATCCCCGCTGCCACTGTAGTCATGCCTGGTTTAATACGAAGCTTCTGGGTCTGAGGGTCAATGGCACTGAATGACAAGGATTCTGAGCTATTCTTTCCTGGAGATGTACGTGGTTATGGGAGAAGATAATTGAGGAATTTGTCACCTTTTACACGTAAAGAGACTAATACTTACTTTCCTACTACTATTGGGCCATGAGTGTTGATTATTACCTAAAGGTAGTGAGTTATTATTCATGCTGATCTTGCCACGATCTTCCTTGTCATTACTCAAACCGCTGACCGGGGTCGGGGGTGCGGCCTGTGACCATGGAACAGAGTGAAAACCACTGGCTCATGGAGAGGTCAAACCCCGCCTTTGGCCTCATTACCACAGGGCTTCAAGAAAACAAGAAAACAATCCCAACCGTCCAGCTCAATCCACAGGCGAAAGGATACTCCAGTGTGCCTTCAGTTCTTCAATTTTTTTCAGGGATTCTTGAACTTCCTTCCATACTTGCTCATCACCAGTTAGCATATCAGCATCCTGCTCAGGCCAGAAAAGGAAGACAAATAACCCAGTTAGTAGCACGCAAAGGACCCGAATAGACCTTTCTCCCAGATATACAAAAGGCCTGCAAGGCCATGAAAAGATGCTTGACATCATTTATCATCAGGGAAATATAAAGCAAAACCACAGTGAGATATTACTTGATACCCACTACCACAGCTATAGTCAAAAAGACAGGATAACAGCAAAGGCTGGTGAAGACGTGGAGAAACGGACACCCTCACACACTGCTCATGAGAATGCAAAATGGTAGCTTTGGAAAACACTCTGGAAGTTCCTCAAAGGGTTCAACGTAGAGTTTTCATATTACCAATTAGAGTTACCATATTAACAATCCTACTCCCAGGTGTCTACCCAAGAGAAATGAACACATATGTTCAACAAAACTTGTTCACAAATATTCATAGCAGCGTTGTTCATAATAGGCAAAAAATGGAAACAACTCACAGGTCTATCAACTGACATGGTATATGTCCAGACAATGGAACATGATTCCACAATGAAGTACTGACACATGCTACAACATGGATGAACCTTTCCACAATGAAGTACTGACACATGCTACAACATGGATGAACCTTGACTACATTACGCTAAGTGAGAAGCCAATCACAAAGACCACACGTATGACTCCATGGATATGACATGTCCAGAAGAGGCAAATCCACAGAGACAGAGAGTCGATCAGTGGTTGCCTAGGGCTAAGAGGACTGGAGGGAACTGGAAAGTCACTGCTAATGGGTAGGGGTTTCTCCGGGGGTGATAAAAATGCTCTAAAATGGACACCATGCTAGCTGCACAACACTGTAAAGAGACTGAAAACCACTGAACTGTACACTTTAACTGGGTGAATTTCATCACACGTGAATTATACCTCAATAAAGCAGATATTTTTAAAAAACAGAAGGGGAATAGGATAAATAGTTATTTGTTAGGAGACCTACAGCTAAAACCTTACTAAGAATAAAATACAACTACACCCACGTGAAGCAATTCTGACTCTTCCACCTAAACACAAAACCCCCAACACTGAAAAAATGCAGAAGAACATAAAATTATGAGCTACCACGTACGAAATGTCTGCCCCTCCTATTTAGTAAGCAGGTCTTCTGTTTCCCGTTGGCCAGTGTACCTCTGGCATCTAGCACAGTGCCTGGCACATAGTAGTTGCTTAATCAGCACTTGTTGAATGAATGACTGAAAACCACATGTGCGCACAATGCTGAAGACTTTACTGATATTGTCTTATCTTCACACAGTTCTTTTGTGTAAGATCATATCCCATGGGGTAACACAGGCAGGGAGTGGGAGAAGTCTACCCTGGTCAGGCAATGACTATTGTCTACAGAATACTGAAAAATAATAATAAAACCAATGAAAAGTACATCTGATGTTTACTGCGTGCAACAATTCAGAGGTGAAATATTCTTCCCCCCAGGTCAGAGGGTGCCTAACATCTTTCTCCCTAATGTATCACTGATCCTACCCAGCTTATAGATGGCAAAACTGAGACTCAGTTAAGTGATTTTCCTGAAAATCACCAGCTTGGAACCAAAATTTCAACCCAGGTCTGTCTGATTCCAAAAGGCTATTTTCTTGGCAAATGTTACTCTGTTTACCACAGATGCTGCTATGGTCTTTTCAGCATGCTCAGCAAGTCCTGCTTCTTTAAAGTTTCACTAATAGGCAGCCACCAGCCAGGTGTGGCTATTTCAATTTCAATTAATTAAAACAATAAAAAACTCAGTTCCTCAGCCGCAGCAGCCACATTCCAAGAAGCTAAGAGCCACATGTGGCTTTGGCTACCACACTGAACAACCGAGATACAGAACAGTTCACTATGTCACTGCAGAAAGTCCTGTGGGACGTGCTGCTTTCAGGTGGCTCGTCAGAGGGTAAGCACTCTCATAAGACACTATTCGAAACCAGGTGTTCAATATCCATGAGACTGTCAACGGGTGTCAGGGACAAGAACCATCCTAGGAGGTTATATGAAAGCAGGGCCAGCGTGGGGGTGACATAAGGGTGAGGAAGGAGGGACTTTTCCATACTGTAGACATCTCCCTGGAGACTCTTACGTGCCCGTTGAAGGAGGCTTATACAATGACCCCATGAGAGCCACTGCCAGAGTCAGCCTGTGTTTCTGGGAAGAAGAAACATCACTCAAGTGCGCGGGGGCAGAAAAAAAGGTGGGAGGGCACTACGAGCCGCAGAAAAAAAGGCTGGAGGGCACTACGAGCCGCAGAAAAAAAGGCTGGAGGGCACTACGAGCCACAGAAAACAGATCCTGAGACTCTCCTTCTCAGGCTGAGGCGGTGGGTGTGTGGATGAGGAGAGGGGAGCACTTCTGTCTGTGTAATTCGGCTTTGCGGGCCTCTGTGTGTATGTGCTGTGCCTATGTGTGATATAGTAGAATGGTTTTTAAAAGGACACCATAGGTGCACTTTTTTTTTTTTTTAAAGGAAATCCTAAATACATCCCCAGCTTTCTGTACACAGAGGACGGAGGAGATAAAATGCTCTTAAGACAGTAAACAACAGGCTAGGTGTGGTGGCTCATGCCTGTAATCCCAGCACTTTGGGAGGCTGAGACAGGAGGATCACCTGAGGTCAGGAGTTTGAGACCAGCCTGGCCAACATGACAAAACCTCGTCTCTACTAAAAATACAAAAACTAGCTGGGTCTGGTGGTGCGTGCCTGTAATCCCAGCTACTTGGAAGGCTGAGGCAGGAGAATTGTTCAAACCTGGGAGGCGGAGGTTGCAGTGAGCCGAGACCATGCCACTGCACTCCAGCCTGGACAACAGAGCAAGACTCCGCCTCAAGAAAAAAAAAAAAAGAAGAAGAAGGTAAACAACAGTCTCCCTCCGAATGCTTGCTCTAAGTCCATCGTCATCTCCTAAAAATCACCTCACTCTCCTGTTCCAAAGCCTTCAGCAACTTCCCACGGCCTCCTAGATCAAGCTTACCCGTTAGATCTTGACCATCGTGGCCATTCCTGAGTGAATATTCCAGTTTTACATTTCACAACTGGCAGCTTAAACCCTAGACCTAAGCTTGCTAGTCTCTATGGTAAGCAGAATAATGGAGCCCCAAAGATGTCCACGTCCTGCTCTCCAAAACCTGTGAATATGTTCGGTCACACTGCAATGGGGAACTGAGTTGTAGACGGGATTAAGGTTGCTCATCAGCTGACCTTAAAATAGCTGAGAGTTCCCCGGACTTTCCAGGTGGGTCCAGTCTAATTACAAGGGTCCTTAGAAGTAGAAGAGGGAGGCAAACGAGGAGGTCAGGGGATGTGCTGTGTAACCAGAGGCCGGCAAAGGCAAGGAACCCAGTCCCCTGGAGCTTCCAGAAAGGACAACAGCCTTGCCCACACCTTGATTTTGGCCCACTGAGACTTGGGTCAGGCTTCCAGCCTACAGAACTCTAAAATAATCAGTCGGAGCTGTTTTAAGATGCTGTATTTATGATCCATTGTTGCAGCAGCTATAGAAAATGTGGTCCCTAACATACCTTCCGCTCTTCTGGCCACTGGGGCTGTTTGTGCCTGGCCCTCTCTGTACCTGAAATTAGTCAGTCAGATCACTCATTTATTCCATTAACACTTACTGAGTACCTAACCAGGCACTGTTCTAGGCAGTGGGGATAGAGCAGTACATAAATCAGATAATCATCATGTTCACACTGAAGAGACAGGGTGGAACACACAGTAAGAGAAGATACACACCTGCGCGCACACACACGCACACACACACATTTTGTTGGGGGAAAAACAGGGAAGAGGCATGGGGAATATTGGCACCAAGGAGTTCATTTTAAACAGCATGATTGGGGCAGGTCTCACTAAGATGGTATTTGAGTAAAGCTGTAAAGGAGGTGGAGGTGTAGGAGACAGGAGTTCCACGGAACGGGGAGGGCAAGTGCAGAGGCAGAAGAATGCCCGAATATTCCAGGAACAATAGAGGCCAGTGTGGCCAGAGCTTGTGGACTGCAGTGTGTGTGCATGTCCTGTCTTCCCCACTTCATTGTCAACTCTTCAGAGCTGAATATAGGTCTTCTTCTTCTTAGATCCGGCCTCTCCCAAATATCCAGCACGTAACAAACGCTCTGCTGAATGTCTCTAGAATGGATCTGGAAGAAGTGAACTAACTTGGTAATGATTTGATGTCTCTTGTGTTTATTTCAGTTATTCCTCACTACATCTTTGAAAGGCATCAATACCTGTAATTTACAAATGAGGTGCAAGATAGTCCTGAAGGTTACATAATTGGTCCAAATGTCCTTCTACCCCTGATTACCAGAGGTAGGATTCAAACCCAGGTCTGGCTGGCTCCAGTGCCCATTCTCTTTCTACTACCTTCATGCTTAAATTTTGTTTGTTTCTCTCCTGGACTTGCTTAAAAGGTGAAACTCATGTCTGAGTTAATACATTCAAAGTATCTTCACCCATGTTTCCTAAGCTCTTCCTAGTACTAGCACGTTCAAGAGGAGAGTAAAATCCTCCAACATAGAACCCACAGCAGATCTCGTGTTCTTCTACCAAGCAGGGTGAGATGGCAGCCCAGGGCAGAACAATTTCATATGGGAATTATAGTCACAACTACATTTGCCACCAGTGAACATAATCTGATTAGCTGTTCTTTCAGGTTGACCTTAAGCCTTTATTTGCTTAACAGAAGAGCAAGCAGGCTTTGAAACTGCTCCTAAACATTTAGAAAGGATACCTCTGAGAGCATTTTACCCTGGAGCTAGACAAAGTCACACTCATGAACAGCTATCACCTCCCTGCAGTGTTCCACTACGGTGACTGCCTCTCAGGTTCCAGCTTCCCCTGACCCTACCCATCCACTGTGGCTGCTACTCACAATTACGTCTACACTGGGTCTGTCTCATCTCCCCTCTCTCCACCCCGGGCCGGAGGAAAACATTCAGTTGCACAGGTGTATCAATAGGGCATGTGTACAGAAACAGAAAA